CGGTAGAATCATTTCGACAAGCATTACTTTGATCGTGTTTTCCGGCAAATTCAATATGGACGCCAACTCGCAACGCCTCGGTCGGGAGACGTAATTCTCGTGGGCGAATTCCCTTTCCAAACGACTGATCTGCTCGCGCGTAAACGCCGTCCGATAGCGACGAATGTTCTGTTCATCGCCCCTGTCTTCTAAAAGTGAAGACCAACTGTCATTTCAATCATACTGTATTGTACTGTAATTAGCGATTTTCGTTAGCCGCCCAATGCCAGTACAAAAATGCATCTTCAAAACAGGGGTAATTTAACATTCCATTTTATTCTGGTTTGTTTCTAATACGTCAGAAGTAAATTAACTTCTGATCTTGTGAAACGATGGTTTTCGGGACAAAACAAATTTGATCTGCGAATATTTTAATTATTCACAGTTGATTGAGTCGAATTTATTTACTGGACAAGTAGAAGGGAATGTCTTCGTCTGCTGAATGTATAAACATATGTATACATTCTACGCCGATAGTTTGCCATCTATCCAATATTCTTTAGCATATAGTTACTGTTTTAATTTGATTGACGAAATTTGTTTAGTTTCGATTTGAAAGCAGTAGTGCAAGGTTCCAAACTGTTCTGCATTTTCCCAGCTTTTCCCTCTGTTAACAGTAAAGTAATTATCAGGCCAGGTATGTGCTAACCACAAACAATAAAAACAGTTTTTGACATGAAGAAAAAATAGTTTTTTAACTTCCTGGCCTCAACAAACAGCTACAATAGTAAGAAATGTATTTTTCAAAAGAAGATGCAAATGGATCGGCGCAGTAAGCGCTCAACAGGTCAGGAATAAATGGTTCTGCCGCAACAGATCACATTGTCTTAAACAACCAGCCACACAGTGGGACTCAAGCAAGACAATCCACAAAGAATTCAACTAGAAGAAAAGAAAAATTATGGAGACTAACACAGGAGAGGGAACACAAAAGATAGATTAAACACGATTTATTTATACACAGCGCAAGCAATTTGGTCAATGAGAAAATCGTCTAATACAGATATATTGACTCTGTCTTACGGGCCATCTCCTATGTAAAATGGTTGGTTAATTTCATAGCTGCTTTTTGGAGCAAAAATACCTAAACATCCTTTTAGACACAGGCCAAAATTTAATACCAATTAATCATTCGATCGACCAAACATTTTGCACTACACATATATTAATTGCGTTCTATGCGTCTTTCAACATAACCACAAAAGACAAACGCTATATTCAACACGAACACATTGCAAAATGAATCGAAATTATACGAATAACAGAGCTAACCCATTTTTACTATATGACAATGCTATAACAATTTTTGCATCAATTTCTTTTTTGAAGTAATTTTGTCGATTACTAAGTCTGTTGGTCTAGTTCTGTTTACATTCGTATCTCTTCGTTGTATACCATTTTAGCTAAGTCAGTAACCAGGTAATTTTAAAGCTGGCATTCAAAATGTAACAGCAAGGAGGAGTTGGGGCATTTACACTAAGTTTGCACTTCTCCACAGGTGACTACCTTCAGACGCAAAATCGTTGCGGATCTTATTCTGATTTCTGAGTGGTCATGGTCTCCTTTACTTCATTTTCAACTATATCAATAATGAAAAATTGATGCATAAAGTTTGAAACATTCATCAATATCTTGGTCCTTTGGAAACGTCCTACAGAAGACACATTTTTGGAATACTACTAGCCGTTGAATTTAAGGTTTAGTCTTCAATTATTCTTTAACCTGTATGCAGATGCCATAATTTGTTTATCGTTTCTGTCGTCTTCATGGAGAGTCGATGCTGATTTAGCATTCACCATTTCAAATGAAAATGAGGCCCAACCTTCTGTTTCCCTCCAAAAGCAATTTTTCTTGAGTGAAATGAATTGCTGGTAATCGCTGTCTGGTATGTGCAGACTGGGCAGAAAGGGTGGCCGTTTTATCTGCACTGCCTTTAACTCACTGTCAAATGATCGTGAGTTGAAGCATCGTTAAAGTTATTTGAATTTCGTCCTTTGAGGTTAATAAACGGTACTCCTTTGTACAGAAAAGAAAGTTTTACTTTCCACAAGCCATTAGAAATTGCCTAAAAATGCGGCACTTCTGACTAATGGAATTCAAGCAGAAATCGGTGTTACACCACAAGATTCATGAAACATGTGGGCAATAGGTGAATCGCGTCCATCACTCAGAAATGAATATGGAAAAAAGACCGACACCACAACAATTATAAATTGTTATATAAACTCTCTAATGATCGGTTCTTCATAAAGGCTGCTGCAATTTTGCAATCTTGCATCGTATTCAATTAACATTTTAATGGCGATTCAACTTTTGCTGATTTCAATTTTTTTCACAGCTCTGGTTTTTGACGAGGACTATGGTCAGAGTACACATTGCCCATGTTATCCCATAACAGATATAAGTAACCTTATCGAAAGTGCTTATGTTCAATAATAAACATCACTCCTTCGCTGCCAAAATTGTTTCAATTCCGTTATAGCTCACTAGCAGTCTACTATGCAATCGTTAGCAATCTAGCAAGAAAGCAAACGAAGATCATCGAAATTCTATCTCACGTGATGTCACTCAAAATCTATGTAAGGGTTGTAAACAGCCCATTACATCTAAAAAATGGCTACGCTTACAACCTCATCATTTTCTGGCAACTGTTTCCTTTGATGTTGCATCATCAGTGTGTCAATACTTCCACTGTGTAGAAGAGGCTAATATGTGTGCGAATAGTTTGCATGAATCACTGGCCAAAAAGCACTAGAGGCTGGTACTAGAATTGAAGATGTCAATTGCAGGCAAAACTTGCTACGACGAGGAATGCATCTTGTACTGACATTGCCAACACCGATAAATCTGAGGCACCTGTGTCTGCCAATTCATGTCACATTCACTTCCATATAGCTTCGATTCAAATTCCGTTTAGCCTTGCATGATGATTACAGAAACAGCGTCTATATGAAGTTTGAAAGATTTCCTTCGTGCGTTTGGGATCATACTGAAAACCGTTTATAAC